GTTTGGGATCATGAGCAGATCCTTCAAACTTTATCCTTTCCATCACTTTAAAGGTTAATCTTTGTCTCATCAGTCCATAAACATTGTCCAAGAATTTTTGAGGCACGTCTCCCATTCTTCTTGCTAATGATTGGTTTGCATCTTCTGTTGTAGCCTCTGTAGTTGTGTTCATGAAGTCTTCTGTGAACAGTAGATTGTGATACCTTCACTCCTGCCCTCTGGAGGTTGTTGCTGATTTCACTAACAGTTGTTTTAGGGTCTTTCTTTACAGCTGTCACAATGTTTCTGTCATCAACTGCTGATGTTTTCCTTGGTCTACCTGTTTGAGGTCTGTTACTTAGTACACCAGTGGTTTCTTTCTTCCTCAAATGGTTGTACTGGCTAGGGCCAATGTTTGTGCAATGGCTCTGATTGATTTTCCATCTTCTCTCAGCTTCACATTCATTGTTTTTCACCCATAGATAGCTATCTGGTTTTCATGTCGGTTACACATCTAACTATAAATGCAGTCTGCACAGGCAAAACCCAAATCTGAAACTGAGCACAGACATTCAGTGCTATTTATTGTTTGAATAAGTCAAGTCAAGTCAAGTCACCTTTATTTATATAGCGCTTTTAACAATACAGATTGTGTCAAAGCAACTGAACAGCATTAATTAGGAAAATAGTGTGTCTTTCTTTACAGCTGTCACAATGTTTCTGTCATCAACTGCTGATGTTTTCCTTGATCTACCTGTTCGAAGTCTGTTACTTAGTACACCAGTGGTTTCTTTCTTCCTCGGGACATTCCAAATGGTTGTACTGGCTATGGCCAATGTTTGTGCAATGGCTCTGATTGATTTTCCATCTTCTCTCAGCTTCACCATTCCTTATTTTTCAGCAATAGAATTTCACCATTTTGGTTACATATCTTCTAACTATAAATGCAGTCTGCACAGGCAAAACCCAAATCTGAAACTGAGCGCAGACATTCAGTGCTATTTATTGTTTGAATAATCAATATAATAGGACAGACCAGGGCAACAAAACACACCTGTCAGTCACATGTTCCAATACTTTTGGTCACATGAGCAATGGCTGGGTTCAAACAAAAAGTGCTATCTTCTAAGTTGTGTATCAGATCCAGATGTAAATACCTGGAAATAAAAGCTGAAATGTTGATCTCTTGTCTCCTATTCATCTTTTGATGTCAAACCCAAATGTTTTCAGTCTACATCAAAAATAGCGGAATTGGCCTCACTGTTCCAATACTTTTGGAGGGGAGTGTATGTGCATTACTAAACCCTGATCTGATTTTTCAGATTGAAGTAGAAATTTTTTCACCAGCTTTACCATGCAAAAATCACAAGCACAGTCTCTTTCTCCCTCTGTCATGCATCTCTGTTCGGAGTAACAGTGAAGCTCCTTTGATGCAGTTATTGCAAGCAAAGGATTTGCAACTAAATATTAAGTCTTATTCCCTTTAATCTAGTTTGAGTCAATCTGTTCCAATAATGTTGGACTTTTGGTCACTGGGTGGGTTCAAACAAAAGGTGCTATCTTCTAAGTTGTGTTTATCAGATCCAGATGAAAATACCTGTAAATAAAAGCTGAAATGTTGATCTCTTGTCTCCTATTCATCTTTTGATGTCAAACCCAAATGTTTTCAGTCTACAGCAAAAATAAAGGAATTGGCCTCACTGTTCCAATACTTTTGGAGGGGAGTGTATATATATATATACATATATATATATATATATATATAATGTGTGTGTGTGTATGTTTATATTTTCAGTTCTAATTTTACTTTTATGTGCTTCTGTCATTTTTATCAGTTTTTTAAAATATTACTATTTGGGTTTAATTAATGTTTATTTCAGTTTTAATGTTTATTTCCACTTAAATTTACTGGACATGCAAACATGCAAAAATCAATTAAATATACAAAGCAGCTTGTGATCTCATAACTAAAATAGCACTGCAACATAACCAGCATTTCACAACTAATCAGATTTGATGTTTATATTGCATTCAGACCTGACTTTTAAGTGATTTTGTTGAGGTTGAAGTGTGTCGGTTTGCATGCATATGCGTTTCTGGGTAGGTTTATTGATTCTAGGAAATGTACATCTATTTGTCTTGATGACAGTATATATGCGTCTTTGTTTTGTGAGCGCGTGTGTGTGTGTGTTTATTGTAGTGCGTGTTATTGTGTGAGGTCAGAGGTGGCGTATTAACTGTGGCTCTCATGTGGATTAGTGGAACAATGCTTCAGTAATCACGTCTGTTCTTCAGCAGTACCGCGGTAAATACTGTCGTGTGTTACAGCATAATCTCCACCCTCAGAAACCCCACCGACTATAACATCTGTGCCGAGTTACTCCTGACAGACAGACAGAGAGAGAGACACAACTGACCTGATGGACAGAGACGGGAGAAAACATTAAAAAAGTGCAGAGAGACTGAGAGAGATGAATCTTTAGACTGCGTCTAAAACTTGATTGAAGTTTCAGTCAAAGTCACTGTCATGATCCTCCGCGTCTGTCACCTGAAAGCCTTTCCACTGACTTTAGAGTCGAACAACGTCATAAGTGACCCACAAACTAACTAGACTCATCACCGTCTTTATTGTCCTGACCAGATGCATCGCAATAAAGCCTCAAGCAGTGAAATCTGTCTTCCATGTCATGCGCCGTTCATACATTTAATCACTTTATGGTGTAGTGACTTTTGTGTTGCCTTTGCAAAACCTGGTCACAAGTGGGATGGGTTGGCATTAAAAATATTCAAATTTGATCCAAAGTGAACACTAAAATGAACTAACCACTAAAAATAATGTGTTTGAATAGAAATTATAGCCGTGCTTTATGCATCATATCAGGAACGTCAATTAATTAATGCATGCATCAAATGCATTTTCTGACATGTTTCTTCATGCATTCTGCTAAATGACTAAATGTAAATGCATTATCGTGTGAATATGTCACTTTAATTTTTTGACAAGCAAATGGAAATTTTGTCCATTATGTGGTATTAATCATTTTTTTTAAAACCTTTTTGAATTAATGCCATTATTATTTTTTAACAAAAACCTTTTAACTTATTTCAGCTAGTTGCCAAAGAAACTTTTTTTTATTTAGTTTCACTTGAATAAAATAACTATAACTAAAACTGATATAAAAATGTAATTAAAAAAGCAAAAACTGATAAAAATGACTAAAGACACACAACAAAATAACCAAATCTTTTACTAAAATTCAAATGAAGAAAAAAAAAAAAAAAAAAAAACTGAGTCAAAGTATTAATAAAAGCTCTGATAGCATCTCATTGATACTAAAATGACACTGTTGAGAACACAAGCTCTTTTGATGTAAAGGCCGGAGGCTATTTAAATACATAACAATTAAAAATTACACAATAAATCAAAAAAGGTTATAAAAACAGGAAATTAAAGTGGCTTGAAAGTGAAGCATCATACTGTGTAGTGTAGTTTATAGGGGTGTGCGATATTGACAAAAAATTATATCTCGATATTTTATGGGATTTTATCGATAACGATAATTAGACGATATTTTGCTGAGTGTGTTATTGTGCTGGTACCTTAAGGACTGCCGAAGACAGCTGACTCCTAATGTTTTTAATATTCTTCATATTCTGTGTGGTGGTCAGTTCATACTGATAGAAATTAATCTTTTCCAATAAGTTTAAACTGATGTTTGCATTTTATGGGCATTTTTACCTTTATAAAGCCATTTTTTCTAAAAGTGTCCATTATCGTTTGAGTCAAATTCTTACATTTAATCAGGGAAATAGAATAATAAGACATTTGGGCTGTTACCAAGCAAATTAAATCAACACAGAAGCTGCATCTGAAGTGGCATTTAGATGTATTTACACACATGTATTTTGTTTAATGCAAGACATGAATGCATTTAACCTGCAATTACAAATGCATAAATAATGTTTTGATATATTAAACATAAAACGTTGAATACTGATATTTGAAATGATTTAAAACATGAAAAAAAGAAAAAAAGAAAAAGCCGAAATTTGAAATGAAAACCGCCAGCAGGTGGCAGCAAATCACTGTTAATAAGTGAGTCATTGCGACTGAACCAAATCATTTAAACGGTTGATTCATTCAAGAACGAAACACCGTCATGTTGCTCAGAGACACAAAACAGCACTGTGGCTGTATTCGGAATGATTTTTGTTGGCGAAATAGAGCAAAAACAAGCAATATGGTGTCTAAAACGTAAGTCTCTTAATTAACTTATTGTTTATTGAATTCAATGTCACATTTGTAATCATGGTAATTTTTGGAGAAAAACGGCACTCTTCGTGTGAAATTGAATAACTATATGAAGTGGTATAAATATATAAATTTTCTGCCATCATGTCTTGAATTTGTGATCATTCTAAATGCATTTTAATAGACTGAATCATGCAGTGAAAGAAAACACACTAAATGCGCACACGCACTAGTCTAGACTTCACGTAATGTATGCGTGCGCTCTGTAGGGATGTTTTGAATGGTTTTTGCAAAATACTCGATAATGTCAAATCGCACATCGTTAAAACAACAATTACGATATTATCGCAGACGATATATATCGCACACCCCTAGTAGTTTATATGATAAAATGATCTATATTTTTAAGATATACAATACGTTTAAATTATTTAAACATACATTTGTGTTGCAACTCCTGCACTGGTATACTAGTGTCCTTTTTGGGAAATATTTTGACTGTATGAAACAATGTATACATCACTTACATGCTTTTATGGTGAAAACACTTCTTTTTCATGTCAACTCATTTATTTTGACTATAAACAACCTGGTATCTGTTAACATGGGCACAGAGAAAATGATGCGCCGCTTACACATCTTGTGCGAAACGGACCTGAAGTCCTGGCGGAAAAGGGGTGCAACAGTGTATAAGTGTGCGAATGTGTGATGATGGATATGTGAAATGTATTGCACTGCTCACAAGTGTTCTTTCTTTCTCTTTCGTCAGATTGTATGAAGGGAAGGAACAGGCCGAGTTTGAGGAATCTCTCAAAAGTTTATTTGAGTCGATCAATAACCTGATGAAAAGTGACTACACCACTACACTACTGCAGCAGGTATGAATAGTTGAATTCAGTTTATGAAATATATAGCTATAGCTATATATAGCTGTGTATATAAAGTATGTAGCTATATAGCTGTCAGTACAAAGGAGTCACTTGATACAATAAGTGTCACGAATTAGCTCTCTGAAGTACTTGCCCACAGTCCTGCAAGATGTGGAAACTGTGTTCGATGCTAAACTCCTCAGGTGAGTCTCATAACAGCCTAAAATCTCTAGAACACACCTGATCGGTCTGGGCTGAACTGATGTACTGACAACAGTTTCTACAAGTGCTTGAAGACACTTTAAATGACCGCCATCAGTTTGTGACGTCAGAAATCAATCACCACAAACACACAGACTCTCCTTCACTCTGAAGCTGATGGTCCTTAATACACTTGTCCTCTTACATTTACCTGATCTACTCGAATGCTAATGCTATTATAACTGTAATGTGACTTTAACTAGTTTAGCTGCTCATGCGCTTAACTGAGGCAGATGTCTGATGTCTCGACTTGAGTTTTTGATGAGTTTGAGAAACAGTGGAGCGAGTTTCTCTCATATGGATAGTTTAATTTGAGTGTTTTTATCTAGTTAGAGCCGGGAGTGTGTGTTTAGCTTCAAATGGCGTCTAATTCATCACTGCACACAAAACACAGAACGATTGTTGCGGCTCCGAGAGGGTCGATATGATACAGTAGTTTCTCACAGACCCCGGCGGCGTTCAGACTCGATCAATAAAACACAGGTCACTTTCTCTGCCCTCAGCATTTATTTCTGGATTCATTTTTGCTATTTTTATCTTTTATTCAAGATTATGGATAAAGATCTTCTACAGAAATACAGTATAAACTGACACTTACTGTTGTGCAAAAACCGATTCGATGACAAAATTAGATATTAAGTGCATGAACTGCTTTGAAGCTCTTTAAAAAATGTTGTCAATCGATCTCATTTACTTTTTTAATACCATATACTTTTCTGCCTGTCTGTTTGCAGTAAGCTGTTGTATGATTTCTACACCTGTATTCCTCCGGATAAACTACAGAAACAGAAAGTGGCGTCCATGACTGTGATCGTGGGCAGCAAACTCTTCCACAGACAAGGTAAAACACGCGCTCATGAAAGTCTGAGATGTCATTAAAAATCTGGAGTTTCCCCCCCCTCTATTTACACCTGAAACTATACTGTAAAAAAAGCAACATTTTGAGTCATAAATACTAAGAGTTGTGAATTACTTTAAACTAGGGATGGCAATAATCGGTATCGGAGCGATAAAGCAATTACCTGCACTAGGGGTGCTCCGCTCAGGATTTTTGAGGCCGATCACAGAAAGCAGTATCTGCTGATACGATCACCGATACCGATATTTTTAAAGCCTTCTTTTTATCATGTAGAATTATTTATAGTAAGACTCCAATCAGGAATTTTAGACATTTATTCAGGGCCTGAATTTCATTTTTGAAAATGAATTCCCCTCTTAAATGACTCGTGTGAGAGGGGATTTTTTAGTTTGAGGGGTAGAGGGGGGCATTTTTTAGACATTTTTCTAAAATATATATTTATCTCACCTAAATGTTTGATCATGCACTGCATTTTTGTTTTTACAATCGTGCAATTGTTGCACAATAGCTGACACACAGCGCAAGCCTCATTTTGTGAGCTGTATGTGAGGCGGCCTTTTACACCAGGTTCACACATACTCCGTTTGCAGTGCGCATGTAGTCCATATGTGTGGTACAGAAGCAGCACGGACTGTGCTTTCACACAAGAGTCTGCTCCTGATCTGTGGCTGTTTACCACAAACACAACATTTATCCATTATTTTGATTTTAACTCCAAACATTGTTACTTAAAATGCTTTTTCAGCATTGTGATTCTTCAAACAGTTTTT